GAATTATGCTCATCATTGGGAGTGTTTGCTAAAAATAGTATTTTTTTAAGCTAATTAACACACACTAGGTTGAGAATTTTCCTCCCCTCATTCCCTGTCTGAAAACGCTTTATGACATTGCTTTATAATTGTTTTTCTTATTGAAGTGTGTGGTAGTATCTAGGTGGGAACTGACTGATAAGTCTTAGGAAGCTGTCAGAATACCAAGGGCCTCTTAATGTTTACATTTTTCCCCTTTTGTTCAGTCTTTTGTCTTAAGCAATTCTAAAGAGATTTTTAAAAACAGTCTTTTATATGTTCTGTTTACACGTTAAAAATTTGGGGAAATTAGTGGGTGTAAATGTGGAACGCCTAGATTAGCCAGCTGCACAGGTCACAGCACGCTGTGTGTAATTCTCAACACCTTGTCTACTCATGACTTTCTTCTCTAAGTGATGCTTGTCTCAAATACTGCCTTTAGGCTACTTTTCCTGTTCTTGTTGAAATGTTAAGCAGCAGCACTTTCTTCTTCATCGATCCATTACTGATATTTGGGGAGAAACTGTCACAAGTCAAGAGGGGTTGCCTCCACCCTTCTGAGACGCCCACCGATATGGTGTGTGCTAGGGAGCACGTTTGATACTTAACTGCTCATTCTGTTGTGCTAGTGTTTCTGATCTTTTTATAGTTATTTTTTGCTGTTTATTAAGCACAAAATATCAGAAGATTATGACTAACCTCAGCTCTAGAATGTGCACCATTATTAACACAATGCTAAATGTCTAAAGTGTTGCCGCTCTCTTAGCTCATGCTAAGAAATCCCTTAAATGAAACAGAGGGAGAAAGTTACTTCATGCGTGGTGATCTTGAGTGATGAGAAGTCAGTCGTTTTGCTGTATTTATTGACCAGTTTGTGTGAGGAGTTCCGCAGCGTCTCCATCGTTAGATGTAGTTATAGTTTACTTTGATGAAGGTGCATTTACAATAAGGCATTAAGAGGTGTTAGATATTTCTTAATGCTTTCCTCGTGCTTGGTAGGTGGGATAGCAATAAGGTTACCTCTCAGACCAAATACACTTGTCCTTGCTGTCACAATGGAACCTTAGAGCTAATCCATGAAAACGAGCTCAGAAAAGCTTTAACTCTATTTGTGTGTATGCTATTTCTAAACATATAATTTTCCTAAGTTATTGTAGTGATTTTGATTTGTGATCAGTTAAAATTTGTTTCTCTTCTAAGCTTTTTTTCTCTCATATTTAGCTCAGACCTAGAGCCAGCACAAGTTCTCGCAGTGAGTTGGATCTGTTAAAGAAATTGTACCACATCACAGTCTTTTTCTTACAGTCTCAGAGATTATCTCACTTGCCATTTCCACAGACTGCATTGGGTGGGAAGTACCACCTTAACAAGGGATTGCCATAGCACGTTCCAAACTGAATTTTAACCTTGCTTTGCATTCTTATAAATAGGAAATAGGTATGCACATTTTTTTAACTCTCTAACAGTAAAGTCTTTGGGTTTATTTTTAATAATGAGCCATTCTTCACTTGATAGAACTCGAATTTGTCTTGGCCAATTTTCATTGTAGCGCTCACATTATAACAGTGTAATGTTCTCATAATGTATCTGTGCAATATGGAAGCTGTGGGTGGATTCATAGCTTTCTGGTTTAACTGTTTATTATTGTGTGTGTACATGTACATATATATATATGTATATATAAGGACCAAAATGCTTAGCTTGCTTACACTGATGCTAGTGTAAAGATTGTTACACTTAATTTTACGGGGCACAAGTTACGGAATTACTTCATAAATTCATGGGTAACGATTCCATAAATTATTACATTACTATACAATTACCATCTAGTTACGAAGTTTATAGGTTTTTGACAGAAGTTACAGTAAAGTGCTACACTCACAAATTATATGGTAATTGTATTTTGGGTTGTACAATAAATCAAAATATGCATGTCATTGTGACACTTGCTATGTTAAAACATGACAGATAGTCCTACTTCTGGGCCCTGTAAAATAGTGTCACTGTAATACTCTGTAAAATGGTGTCACTCTGTTGGCCTCTTGCCTTGTTTACATTAAACAGAGGATATTTGGTAAATTTTCTATGAACATTGTGTAGATTACTTGCCAGTGTTACCAAGGTCTGGAATTCCTGGGCCATTGATGGAGAAGCTCTTTAGATGGTGATTGTGTATCTACCCCTCCTCCAAGGAGGCAGTGATCAAGTTCAGCTTTTTATGCTACCAGTGCATGCAGGACTAAGAAGGAAATCAAGAAAATAAATCAATGTAATTTTAAAAAAATATTGTTTTATATTTTTGTAGAGCTCTAGCTGAAAATATTTTATCCACTGATAGGTCTTTTTATGTTTATGTTTATTGTTTATGTTTTATGTTTATTCTTCGACAATATCATATATGCATATAATGTATTTTAGTCATTTTTGCCCCCTCATCCCTCTCTCTCATCCCACAACTACTCCCATTGAACCCCTTCTTCCCAACAAGTCCCATTCCTGCCTTCACGCCTGTTTTTGTTTTTGTCAGTGTGTGATCCATTGAAATGAATTAGGGTCGCTTGCCTGAGCATGGGTGTGGGGGTTATTCACTGAGCATGGACAGCTTACCAGTAGCTACCCCACTAAGGAACTGACTCCCATCCCTAGTTACCATTATTTTCCAGTAGCTCTTTAGGGAGGAAAAATGGGGCCTTATGAGTCCCTCCTCCATTTATGATGAAATGTTAACAGGCCCCATCTTGTACAGGTAGCCACAGTGGCAGTGGCTGTGAGTTCCTGAGTGCAATGGCTATGTCATACCAGAAGACAGTGTGAAATGGTAATTCTGCTCACCTCTAGCACACAAAGTGATACAGGCACTACAGTCAGAGTTGCTGTAGCAGCGCTGCTTAGAGCACACAAAATGTGTCAGTATCTGTGGAGGAGAACTGGAGAAGCTGATGATTTCTGTGAGTGGATTTCATGTATATCTTCAAGTTTCCTCCCTAACAGTCATGTCCCAAAGCAAGGGGCACTTATGCAAGTCTTAGAAAAGAATTATTCCAAATGTTATATCTGAATATATTTTAAGCTGACATTTAAAACAATTAGACTTGGGGCTGGAAAGATGGCTCAGCAGTTAAGAACACTGGCTGCTCTTGCAGAAGACCTGAGTCCAATTCCCAGCACCCACATGGTGGCTAACATCCATCTATAACTCTAGTTTCTAAAGAATCCGACGCCCTCTTCTGACCTCCATGGGCATTGTGTGACACAGGTGCACTTACATACGTGCAGGCAGTATGCTCATACACATAAAAATAATAAATTTTTTAAAAAATTAGACTCTTACCCCTTTCACTTGAGTTTACCCTTAAATGGAAACAGGAAGAAAACGCAATACATGGCACAGCTAGGAGAAAAATCTGCTTATCTCAAGGAGTCTTTTCAGTCACTGTCACCCAAAATAGCTTTAGAAGGAGATGAAGAGGATATTAGATTGCAAATACTGAGGAAGAAAGGTTTAAGTGGCAGGAACTGAAATTACCTTCTCTGTCCCATTGACTTCAAAGCTGGTTCCCCGTTCAAAACTTGGTACAAACTGCTGTGGAGTGCTTTGTAGTGTTTCATCTGGAAAATTAATAATCCCAAGACAGTTTATAAAGAAGTAACATAAAATTGTGAAAATTATATTTTTGCTAGTGGAAGGGTTGTAGGTCTTACCCCAAATGGCAGAATAACCAGGCAAAACACTGCATGCCAGTGTGTTTGATGCAGAAGGGTCCAGAGAAGCGGAATGTCTGAGCTGGCCAACTGGAGAAAGTTGTTATGGATGGGCTGTCTTGTGGAGGCTGCTTTTTAACTTCACTTGATGTGTGTACCCCACCTCAGGGAGACCCATTAAGCCTTTCTTTCCTTCTCTTTCTTTTGTGGTACTGGGAATTGAAGCTGGGGCCTCATCCACACTAGGCAGACTTTCCACCCCTGAACTAGAACCTGAGTTCTTTTTTTGTTTTGAGACAGAGTCTCACTAAGTTGCCCAGACTTGACTTGAACTCTCTTTGTAGCCCAGGCAGACCTTGAACTTGTCTTACTTCCTTGAGCTTCCAAGTAGCTGGGATTACAGGCCTGCTCCACTAGGCCCAGCTTCTAAGCCTATTTCATGAAGGTTTGAGGGTTGCATATTCTTCATCTGTCATTCCTGAAGATGTACCAAACCCAAGACATCCCTGTCATCCAAGAGTTTCGCTTATTTGACAAATATTTATTGAGACTTTTCTATGAGTCTTCTATTTACCTAAGGTGCTAGGTAAATAAATAGAAGCTGTTTCTGCCCCCAAGAAATCACAGCCCTGGTGGTAGTTCTATGTGTTTGCACAAATGATGAAACATTATGTTGTAAACACTGTTAGAATAACAGTGTGCAAGTGCTGTGAGCACTGGAAAGTCAGAATTTTTGCAGATCATCTAAAAGGGAAATCTGAGCTGGGAGTAGCATCACACCTGTTATCCCTGCACTTGGGAGACAGAGGCAGGAGGATCAGGAGTTCAAGATCACCTTTGGTTTCATAGCAGATTTAAGGACAGCCTGAGCTTAGAAGAGACCATCTCAAAACAACAAACAAGTTTTAAAAAAGTAATAATAAAAGGGCTAGGTGTGGTGGTATACGCCTTTAATCCCAGCACTCAGGAGGCAGAGGCAGGCAGATCTCTGTGAGTTGGAGTTCCAGGACCACTGGGGCTACAAGGAGATCATATCTCATAAAATCTAAAAATTAAAAGGGAAAATCTGAAGCTCAAGTCTTGAATAGATTTTTTGGGTGGAGAGTATGGGGAGAGACAGGATCTCAGATAACCCAGTCTA